GTCCTAGGTAGAGGCACTTGGCTGCGGCTGCTTTTTTATGGTAAAATGTATTTTTGTTTTAATTAAACAGTTGCTGCATATTGTGAGGGATCAAACATTTATATTGGAAGCCATCAAGGTGTGTGCAGTGGCGTCACATGAGGGGTGCGGCCCGCAGCAGGTGACACCATCAGAAGAGCTGTCACCAAAATGACTGGCAGTCTTTTTGGTGTCACCCCCTCTGAAAACAGTTAAGTATGTGTAATGATGTCAAGCGCGTGCATGATGACGTGTCACTGGGTGACATCCAGCAGCTGTACCGGGTGACACCCGCCTGGCGACGCCTCTGGGTGTGTGTACTCTTTTTTCCTAGGCTTTGCTTATTTTCTTTTTTCAGTGTGTGTATTTATTCCACATTTATTTCTGACATTCCATCACATTCTGAAAGTAGGCATACTGGGGGGAATGTATTAAAACTGAAGCAAACAGAATCCCGAGCAATTGCCAATAGTAACCAGTCAGTGTCTTCCATTTTCAAAGCTTAACTGAACAAATTGTAGAGAAAGCCTGAGTGGTTGCCATGGGAAACTGCTCCAGATTTTGTCTGCTGCGGTTTTGATAAATTCCCACCAATGCATCTATGGAAGAGGCCGGTGGGAAATTGTACTGAGCACATCCTAAACTGATCAGGAAATTCTACAGAAAGACAATAGAAGGAGTTAGCATTGTATTGTATTCCAGTTTAGGTTTAGAATGAGACAGCGGATGGCAATAAGCAATACAATGTACTTATCTTCCTTTCATGTGTCCCCAGAGAAGCACACAGTGCAGCACTGCAGTATTAAGGGACAACAAGAGCATTTAGGCACAAAGACCCAACAAAAGTATTTTAAATAATACATTTTGGGGTCAATTCACAAAGCTTTTTTTCCAGATACCGCTCGTTATTTTAACGATTTTGCACGATATTGAAGCTAGTTCAATTCACCAAACGATTTAACGCTTTGAAAAATCATCAAATAACGTCTCACTACACGGAACCGATATTTTAAGGTGTGGATCGTTATTAAACGTTTCGATCGTTGTTTTAACAAGTCAAATCGTTAAATATGTACAGAAGTGCAATTCACAAAGATTTTTTTGCCAGATATCGATCGTTAAGCAATCGTTACATAAGCACCACCCTCAGGGTGTCGTTATGACATTTCCCTGGCGGTATTTCTTTGTTAGAGGAAGCTTTTGGCGACAAAAATTCAGTTCTTCAGTTTTGTAGTGAAAGTGTTTGGTAGTTTGGGGCAAGATGGAACCATTTGGGTGTGCTCTATTTGAACTTAAAACTATCCAGAGCCGAAGAAGAACACATCAGTATGTTGTTCTGATTTATAAACGTGTATTCCGTTCTCGCACTATTTTGGATTACTTTTCTGAAACCCAGGTGATAGCTAAATTCCGTTTAACATCTCCCATGATTCATTTCTCTGTAAGAAGCACTGTTCTCCTCCCCTTCTGCTCCCAGAATGCCCCTTCTGCTCCCAGAATGCATCTCTCAAGCGTTATTTTACGATCATAGACGTTATTATTACGTTTAAAACATTAGCATAACGATTGGATAACGAGTCAGTAGAAAACCATAACGACCATCTTGAATAACGATTATAGCTTTCGTGAATACCATGTTTGCTAACGTTAAATAAGGGGCGGTAATTTAACAACTGAAGGAAAC